AGGATGAGATTGGTGGGATTGGTTTTGTTAGCCATGTGTTTTCCCCTATAACAAGATACTTTCCCTTGACCTTGGTCATTAAGGGACAGAAAATTTTCAGATCTGGAGTGCTGTGTCCTCAGAGATACGTTAGAAAACTAATTTAAAATGAATTAATTTATGTATATGATTTTCTCAAATGAATATTTTCCTCCACAGGAAAGAAATGCATAAGTCTGAGTATGCTTAATATGCAACTGAAGGATGGAAATACCTGCTTTGAGTGTAAATCACAGCTGAGCCCGTGTTATGAGCTGGTGGTCAGTCCTCTCTTAGCACTGCTAGTGTGGCTGTAAATCTCCCCGTTGAAGCTTGCAGGAGGAAGGAGCAGGTTGTGCACATCTCTTCCAAGCTGAGCAGACAAGCCCAGCTCAGCCTTGCCCTAGGTAACAGGGTGCAATGGGAGTACAAATCTTTTGCAGCACATGCTGCTCTTTTATGTACCTTCTAGCTGCTTTTGTCTTAGGGCCATGCGTTTCTAAAAGGCTTTCACTAAAGAAAAAAGACAAATACAATCCTTTGAGTTACCGTAAGTAAAAGACTTGAAGTCATTCTGTAACTATTTCTGGATTAGTCCCAAAACTGCTGAATAGTTTTTGTGCTTTGCCTTTAACTCTGTAAGCCAACAGATCTAAAACACTCATCCAGAATACAGAAGAATCAGATGCGTGGTGTGAGGTGATCCATATTTCTTAATCCACAGAAGAGTAGCTTAAGTGGATAGAGCTTTAGATTTGGTTGCTCTCAATCATCTTTTGTGTGGCACAGTCTATTTCATACATACCATTTAAACTCTCTCATGGCTGAAGATAAGAGAATGGAGAATATTTCTCTACCAGGCTGCTGTGAAACCCTCAAGTAGGAGGGTATGCCTAGCTCTGCTCTCTGCTTCCTTGTTTGTTTAATTTTATACATCGAAGATGAGTATTGTCATCAGGATAACACTTGCCAAACTCCCCAACATAGAGAGAGGAGTTGAAAGAAACTTTTCCTATTTCATGAATTAATTTCCTAATCACTGATCTTTTGGATAAGAAGTTCATTTTTCTGTGGGGAATCTAGTCTTTGTGCATTGGTTTGCCTTTATAAAATAGGGATAAGAGAGTAATCCTGGTTTCTGAGTTGTTTGGATGGTTGGTAATAAGGGGAATTATGTGGTGTTGAATTTAAAGGAGATGGTGCTGTAGTTACCAGAGCTATTTTGGGCTGCAGACCTGTGTCAGGTGAAGTGGTGGTGCCACACACCTTGGCACTTTCAACCTTCTGCAAGTACAGGACACTCGGACCAATAACAACGGAGTCCTTCCGTTATAGATCCATCACTTGGACCAGGATAGTTTTGTAAATGGGTCAGAAAATCAAGGCTCCTACTAACGGGAGTGCCAAACCACCTGGAAATGGTGGGTGGGACTGTTGAAGTGTCAACAAATGTCCATTACCCTCCTGCGGCAGATTGGGCTGGTTACTGAATATAGCAGAAGAGACCACAGAAATGTAGATGCTACCACGAGATACCCACTATGCTAACTCACTTCCCATTGCCCTTGACTTCTCCCAGTCTATCACCGCTGACCTCTGATGTGGACCTGTGTTTAATGGACCCTGAAAATCTCGGTAATGTGGCATTTGCTGCTTTTCCCATGTCCACCCTGGTGTTCATATCCTCAAAGGATTCCGGCGAGTTAATGAGCCATGTCTTTCCCTTCCAGAAACCACGAGGCCGCTGCTTAACCCCCTGCCTGCTGTCCTGCTCCGCGCCCGGGGGCTGCACAAATGAAGCGAGTTGGCTTGGCCATTGCACCGCCAGAATGTAAAGCATCTGCGCGAGGTGCCGTGGGGATCAGAGTTTCCTCTTTTGCTGCATGGACTCTCTTGAGTTTCTGGAGGCATCACAAGCAATTAATCATCTTAGACTGGCCCAGAAATCCTTCTGCTCACAGTCATTGCTGAGGTCTCCATCATAGTGGAATTTTAATAGTCTGGTCAGAGTTTCTAGTGTCCTTAGATGGAAATAAAAAATCAAGGTTTTGCTTGCCTTTCTCTCTGCATCTTAGTTGTGATTTTCTCAAGGACTGCCACAGTTAAGTGTCATTCAGTAAAAAAAAAAGGCAGTAATGTCTTTGGTTCAGTGCACTACAGCTCATCTTTATGTTGCTATAAAAGTGCCTTTGTTACATCATGGTCTTGAAGGTTCTCTGAGTGGGTATGGTGGTTTGCTGTAATTTAAACAAAACAGCTAATTTGGGGGATCTTCAGATCACCCATCTGGTGAACGGATCCATTCCAGCAACAGCAACCTGGTAGTCTCGGATTGGAGCACTGCATCAGTTTGGAGAAGGGGCACTCATGCTGCTGGGTCCTCATCAAACCATTTTTTTTGATACCACATCTCCAGAAAGACCACGGAAATGGAGCTGTGCTCTGTTCCAGAGACAATCTATCTGATGTAGTGTAGAGACTGTGCTCATGAGCATGA